TATCCACATCCCTACAAAGGACACAAACTCATCATTTTTTATGGCTGTATAGTATTCCATGGTGTATATGTGCCACCTTTTCCCTGTCCAGTTTACCATCAATGGGCATTTGGGTTGGTTCCAACTCTTTGCTATTGTAAACAGGGCTGCAATGAACATACATGTGCATGTGTCCTTGTAATAGAACAAGTTATAATCCTTTGGATATATACCCAGTAATGGGATTGCTGGGTCAAATGGAATTTCTATTTCTAGGTCCTTGAGGAATCTCCACACTGTCTTCCATGATGGTTGAACTAATTTACACTCCCACCAGCAGCGTAAAAGTGTTCCTATTTCTCCACATCCTCTCCAGCATCTGCTGTCTCCAGATTTTTTAATTATCGCCATTCTAACTGGCGTGAGGTGGTGTCTCAATCTGGTCATTAGAGAAATGGATGCAACATTTTCAAACTTGATGAATCTCACAGACTGATAAGCTCAGTAAGCCTCAAGTAGGACAAAGAAGGAAAAGCAGCCAGAGAAACACACATTAAACACCAAGAAACAGAAAACAGCCGCCAACTTGTCATCAGAAGCAACTCCAGTCAGAAGACAATGGACGGAACCACGTGCTTCCACATGACAGAAGAAAACGTGCCCATCAACCTAGACAGTTAGTGAAAATATCTTCAAAAAAATGAGGGCAAATTCAGAACATCTCCATACAAACAACAATTGGGAGAGTTCATTTTCAGTACATCTGCATGACAAGAAATGCTAGAGGAAGCTACTGAGGCCAAAGGAAAGACAGCAGCTGTATCTCACCTGAAGGTGAAATGCAGGACAACAAAGGAAAGACAGCAGCTGTATCTCACCCGAAGGGGAAATGCAGGACGACAAAGGAAAGACAGCAGCTGTATCTCACCTGAAGGTGAAATGCAGGACGACAAAGGAAAGACAGCAGCTGTATCTCACCCGAAGGGGAAATGCAGGACGACAAAGGAAAGACAGCAGCTGTATCTCACCCGAAGGGGAAATGCAGGACGACAAAGGAAAGACAGCAGCTGTATCTCACACAAAAGGTGAAATGCAGGACGACAAAGGAAAGACAGCAGCTGTATCTCACCTGAAGGTGAAATGCAGGACGACAAAGGAAAGACAGCAGCTGTATCTCACGCGAAGGTGAAATGCAGGACGACAAAGGCAGGAATAGAACAGAAATGGAACTTTACATTTAAAGTGACTAACATTCACATTAAGGGTTATAATATCCTCTGGATGTAGACCAGCTGAGTTTAAGCTAAAAACTGACAATTGTAGAAAAAACATTGAACAAGTAAAGCAAAATGATCTAGCGGAAAAGCCAGTAAGAAGACACATTTGAATCCAAAAACAAGATAAATTTATGATTCTAAAAGAAGGAAGAAAAAGGAGGGAAAAAGATAAAGAACAGATAGGACAAATTTAAAAACACTGATAATTACATTAAATGTAAATGATATAACATTCCAATTAAACGGCAGAGATTATCAACTGAAATAAACAAATGAAGAACTAACTCCAAGCTGCCCATAAGAAACCCATTTTAAATTTAAATACACAGATAGGGTAAGGCCAAGCATGGTGGCTCATGCCTGTAGTCTCAGCATTTTGGAACATCAAGGTAGGAGGATGCTTGAGCCCAGGAGTTCAAGACCAGCCCAGGAAACATGGTGAAACCCCATCTCTAAAAAGTACAATATTACCTGGGTGTGGTGGCGTGCCCCTGTGGTACCAGCTACTCGAGAGGCTGAGGTGGGAGGATTGCTTGAGCCTGAGAGGGTGAGGCTGTAGTGAGCCAAGATGGCGCCACTCCACTGCACCCCAGCCTGGGTGACACAGCAAGATCCTGCCTCAACATTTTATTTAAAAAAAAAGAATAGGCCAGGCACAGTGGCTCACACCTGTAATCCCAGTGCCCTGGGAAGTCAAGGCAGGCAGATCACCTGAGGTCAGGAGTTCGAAACCAGCCTGGCCAACACGGTGAGACCCCATCTCTACTAAAAATACAAAAATTAGCTGAGCATGGCTGTGGGCATCTGTAATCCCAGCTACTCGGGAGGCTGAGGCACAAGAATCACTTGAACCAGTGAGGCCAAGTTTGCAGTGAGAGTGAGACCATCCCATTGCACTCCAGCCTGGGTGACAAGAGTAAAATTCCGTGTTAAAAAAAAAATATATATATATATACACACACACACACACACACAGAGACACATATATACACACATTATATATATATATATATATGTGAGACACAGATAGATTAAAAGTAACAGGAGAGAAAGGGGTATGCCAGGGAAGTGCTGTCAAAAGAAAGCTGAAGTCATTATGTTGCCATGACACAAAGCGGACGTCAGAACAATGAACATCAGCAGTGATAAAGAAAGGCAACAGAGCCAAGCCGTCAAGCGGACATCATGACCCCATGAGTATGCTCCTCCTAACAGAGCTTCTAAACATAGAGCAAAATTCGAAAACATTCATCATTGAAACACGATTACACTGGATGTAGTAAAAATGTTCAACTTTCGCTTTTTGAAAGACATCAGAAGGAGAGTGGTGTTGGTGGGAGGGCTGGCGAGAACTGCCTGGCACTCATCCCCTCCTCCCTAAAGGAAGGCCCAAGGCAACGAGTTAACAGTGACAGTCTGACTGAAGTGTTGAAGGCAGAGTGCTGGAGAGCAGCAGAGGTGTGAAGACACACCTGTGCTGCTTGGAAGCCCAGAAGGGCAGCCTGGAGCTGCCCAGCCTCTGCCACCCAGTCTTCCTCACCCACCAGTTTGACCCAGAAGCAAAGAGGGACCTCCTGTGGCCAGGAAAAGGTCAGCAGATCTCCACCAGCTGCCACCACTACAACCAACACAACCCACAGCCCTCGCAAGCCCTGGCCCAGTTTGCAGCACTGCAGGGAATTCACACAGCAGCGCTGCCCCAATCAGGAACACAAGGTGGGCACTTCCCACCCCACACCCACACCGACAGCCTAGCTGCTACTGCATCTGGAAGGGGTGTGACCTGAGGCCAGTAGCACCTGCACCTCTCCAGCACTGGGGCTCCACCTTCATGCCACCAAACCCACATGGGCGACTGAACACCACAACCTCAGCTTCATGGGGCTTGGGCCCACGTTCAGCTGTAGTTTTGGTCCTGCACAGCAGGGAGAGCCATCCCCACCGCAGCTCTTCCAGCTGGAGGAGCTGTGTGCCCAAACCCACCCTTGAGCCAGCCAAACGGCTGCAGGCCTCCCCACTTAGGACCTGCCGGCCCCCAGGCAACTGATAGCAGGAGCTCAGAATCTGAGAAATCAGCCCCACAGCGCCCACCACCTGCAGGTACACCCCTGGCCTGCTCAGTGGCCCTGTGCCTCCAAGAAGGGCCTAAGAAAAAGTCCCACGGGCTGCCCTGGCAATGTACAAAAATTAGTAGCATTTCTGTACACAAACAAAACACTGGCTGAAAAAGAAATCAAGAAGGCAATCCCATTTCCAATAGCTACAACAAATATATAACACCTAGGGATACATTTCTTTTTCTTTTTTCTGAAACACGAGTCCACTGGGAACCTAGGGATAAATTTAACAAAACAAGTGAAAGACTCTGCGAGGAAACCTGCAAAACACCAAGGAAAGAAACCGAAGCAGATATGAACGGATGAGACGGCACCTCATGCTCAAGGATCAGAATTAATATTGTTAAAACGATTGTGCTACCCAAGGAAACCTACACATTCAAGGTACTGCCTATCAAAATACCAATGATATTCTTCATAGAAAAATAAACAATATTGAAATTTGTATGGAACCATAAAAGATTCCAAAGAACCAAAGCCCACCTGAACAAAAACAACAAAGCTGGAGGGATCACACTCCCAGACCTCAAAATACACTACAAAGCTACAGTAACCAAAACAGCATGGAACTGGCATAAAAACAGACACATGGACCAATGGAACAAAACAGAGGGCCCAAAAATTAATCCACTTTCTACAGCCAACTGATTTTCAACACAGGTGCCAGGAACATTTGCTGTGGAAAGGACGGATTCTTCAATAAATGGTGCTGGGTAGTGGCTCACACCTATTCCAGCTACTTGAGAAATGGGAGGATTGCTGGTGCCCAAGACCAGCCTGGGCTACACAGCAAGACCCCATTTCTACAAAAAGTTGAAAAATTAGCCAAGTGCTGTGGTGCACGGCTGTAGTTCCAGTTATTCTGGAGGCTGAGGTGAGAGGATTGCCTGAGCTCAGGAGTTCAAGGCTGCAGTGAACTATGATTGTGCCACCACTCCAGCCTGGATGACGGCGCAAGACAGTCTCTTAAAAAAAATTATACTCTAATGCTTACAGCAGACCAATTCATTGTGACCAAAAATGGGGACATCCTACTGGCCATCAGCATCCGGTGGTCAGCCCCACTGTGGTGCATTCACGCCAAGGAATGCCGCTTGGCAATGAAAAGGAACCAATGTTATGTGCAACACTGATGAGTTTCACAAACACTGCGCCAAGTAAAAGCCAGATACAAAAACACTGAATGATTCCATCCATGTACATTTCTAGAACGGAGGAATCTGCAATGACAGAAGACAGTTTGGCTGCCAAGGGGCAAGAAGGAGATGTCAGGATCTGACTCTGACCCAGGCTGTGTTCAGTGGCACAATCATGGCTCACTGCAGCGTCAACCTCCCAGGCTCAAGCAATCCTCCCACCTCGGCGTCCCAAGTAGCTGGGACCACAGCCGGGCACCACCACGCCCAGATAATTTCTTCTATTTTTGTAGAGATGGGGCCTCACTATGTTGCTCAGGCTGGTCTTGAACTCCTGGGCTCAAGTAATCCTTCCACCTCGACCACCCAAAGTGCTGGGATGACAGGCATGAGCCATCACGTAATGCAAATGTTCTATATGTCTGTTGTAACATACAGACATATAGGCGAAGGGTTTGCATGGGTGAAGACATTTGTCAAAATTCATAGAATTGCACAGTTGGAATGTGTTTTCTTTATATAAATTATTCATCAGAAAATGAAAAGGGAAAAAAGGCTAGGGGTAACAACAAAAATACCCTTTTAGATGAATATAAAATAATCCTTAAAGAACCATCATTTCCTTATCCTTGGCAAGCATTCCCTCAGGGGGAGCTGCTGTTCTTTCTGCCCCTCTGATGTCAGCGCCTGTTCCTGGGAGCCCAGACCCACAGCATTGTCAGCCTAAGCAGGAAGCAGAGAGGCTCTCTAGAATAGATGTTAGCTTGGGAACATAGCACTGCAGGGGAACACGCATGCCACAGTAAACCACGTGCCTGTTCAGGGAGGTCAGGCCAGACAAAGGCCCTTAAAGGAAACACGACCATGATCACAATGATCATCCTTGGCTACAAACATCAATAACCACAGTGACTCCAGTCTGAGCTTGGACAGGCAGGTGCCGGGCGGTTGTCCTTGCAGAAATATTTTTTGTGTGCGGGTGCGAGGGCCTTTGTGCCGGCTTGTAGTTTTTGCAGTCCTTTCTGGTATCTGGCATGTGAGCTTGAGTGTCCTCTCTTCAAGGCCTTCCCCACCACTCTGTCAGGCCTTTCTTAGCATCAGTGACTCCATTTTGATTCCGACAACTTTCACAGCACATATTCAGAGCAGCTGCCAGGTGTTCATCCAGAAGTGGCTGTGAGCGGCTCCTGCGATCATAGTAAGAGTCCATTCTGCACAAATGAAGGAAAGACAGGCCCTTGCGGAAAGGCTGGGCAGGGCGAGCCCCACACGAGCAGGGCAGGAGAGGGGCCGCCACCCCTCCAGAAATGTCAGGTGATCATCGGCTGATGCTCAAGCGTCTAAAATAATAATTGGTTGCAGCTGGCGCCAGGGAAAGGCAGGCTCCCAACAGATAGAAAACACCTGAAGCTGGAGACGAGCCGCTTCCTGGTAAGATCTCAGGAGTTGGTGAGGTCAGGCACTACGAGGCGAAGTGGCAAAGTACAGCCCGTATGACCTTCCTGTAGGAACACAGGACTGTAGGTAAGGGAAGACTGCCTCAGGAGAGCGCCACACAGCTCCAGGAAGCACACTGGACGCAGCCCTCCCACGTGCGGGCAGGCCACTGCGCATGCGGACAACCCACCCCAAGGGAAGAATCCAGGAGAAGGGACGCAACACCCCAGAAGCACGCCGACATGTAAACCCCAAGTCAAAGGTCCAAACCGTGCATCTGGCCCTCTTCTAAGTGTACTTACATCCTTTCGTTCCGGCTCCAAACTTTCACTCCGGCAATGAAACTTGCCTCAGTCTCTCACTCTGCCTTCTGCCCCTTGGATGAATTATTTCCTCTGAGAAGGCAAAAACCGAGTTGCTGCAGACTCATACGGAGACAGAGTTCTGGACTCCCTGCGGCCCTGGAGAGTAGCAGCCTCCCCTCTTCCTCTAGGAGCTCCCCCCGCCCGCCCCTGCACTAGGAAATGGCAGCAGGCACTTGACTCATTACAGTCCATGCCATCAACACCTGCGTGTGCATGAGCCCCAGGCTCACCTAGGAATGAGGTGTGGCCTCCCTGTGGCATGAAGGGTCAGCCTTCGGGGAACCCTAAGCAGATGACCACATTCAGCTGGCAAGATTCTCAAACACCAGACCACATGCCAGCACTGGAAGGGCTGCTCGTGCATATTGTGGCACTTACCAATAACTTTTCAATGAGGGAAAAGTGTTCTTGGCTGGGCTAGAGTCCTGCAGGCGCTGTGTCCTTGCAAGAGGAGAGCCAGCAGCAGGGCACAGCGGTCACGCCTTGGGCCTAGAAGTCCCTGCCCCTGACCTGCTAGCAAGCTGGCCGCTCTGCCGCAGAACCCCTCTGCTTTGCCTCCAGGAAAAGGCCTTATTATCTGGGAACTCCCAAAGGCACACATTGCAGGACGCCCAGCTTTGCCTGAGGACTTGTTCCTGCTTGCCTATAAATATCTGCACCTGAGACAGAATTTAATCTGGATCAAAACTCAGTCTGAGACTTGCTTTCCTAGAACTACAACCCGTGGGGCAGGCAGTGTGGGCAGAGACAGTCCCACCCCACCCTGCAGAGGCTCGACTGGTGTAGGGCAGGGCAGGACACAGCATCTGTGGAATGAGACCAAATGTGGGTTTGCGACCTTCATCCATAAATCCTGCAGGTGTTAGAATGTGCATTAGAGAGAGAAGCCCAAAGCATTAATGAATACAGACAGGCAGGAGATCCAACACCTTCCTCCCCAGGAAAGCCTGGGCCCCAGGTCCCTGAGCTGAGCTGAGCTGAGCCTGGGCCTGGGGGCGGGCTCCACTCTGAGGCCCCCTCAGCCCTTGCAGCAGGGTGTGTCCACACTCAGACACCCTACTCTGTTCTTCCATTTCCCTCCCAAGGTTGCACAGGCAGCTGTGGCCCGTAGGGAGAGGTGTGGTTTGGGGGTGCCATACCTGTTTCCTTCATGTCTGACCACTGCCGAGTACCTCACAAAGCAGCCAAATCTCTTGGAGCCTCCATTTCCCCAGTCATCCTGAGTGGCCATTGGAGTCCCCAATGAATAAGAACAGCAAGGCCCAGCTCTTCATATATGCATTCTGGCATGTTGTGGGCACTCCAAGTATTAACGGGCTCCTTGCGAGAGGGCCCTCAAATGATGGAATTGAAAAAGTCATTTTAAAACATTGATAAATTCTCTAATCACAGACATGGGGTTCGATTCCCCCACGCCTAGAAAGAAAGCCTTAGCCTCAGAGATATAGTAACTTTGGCTCTCCACGGGAGTGAGGCCAACAAGGCCAGCAGAACAGGGTCAAGCGCTCCTGTTGCCCAAGCAGCCACAGCCGCCTGGCCGTCACTCATCCAGCTGTGCAGTGGCAGAGGGGGTGCTGTGTGGGGACAGGGGAGGAGAGGCCTGCAAGACCCAGGCCAGCTAAGCCTGGGGAGACGGAAGTAGCCACCACACTGTGGAGTGTTGGGGGGACACGGGAGTTTAAGGAGTTCTGCTGGGTGCTGCATGGGGCCCTCCTGGGGTGCTTTCTCACGGGATTTCTGCAACGATTCACAATCTTTCCAGGGACTTTCCTTCAAGTGCTGTCACATGCTGGCGTGGCACGCCAGCAGCCCAGCCTCAGGAGCTCAGAGTCTGAAGGCGACAGATGCACGTGTCCCTTTCAAGTGGCCTCTCAACAGACCCGGGGGACAGCCACATGTGTGTAAATGTTTTCTGCCACCGCAGAACCTCTCATCTGTTCGGGTGGAGAGGCCCTTCCTGTCCCTGTGATCTCTCCCAAGATGGCGACTGTCCTGCACCACTGGCCACCCTTCCGTCGGCCACTGTGGATGACACTAGGGGTGGACACTGACTGAGGAGGCACCAATGTGGTTCCAGCTCCTAGAGCAGACCAGGAGCCTGACAGGAAATGAGCCATCTCAGGAACACAGAGATGGGGGGAGGGACGGAGGGAGGGAGGGAGGGAGGGGGACATGAAGCCACACCTCAGAGTCCTGGATTACAGTACCTTCCCGAGGCCTGGCTAGGTAGTGGCCTTTGGGTGCCATGAGATGCCCACCTGGGATAGACTGCCAGTCCCCTGATGTTTGACAGCTGGAGGTGGAATGTGCCTCCCGCAGACCACAGGACTACAGCCTTCATTCACACGCCGCACAGACTGTGGCAGGACGAGCACCCGCTGCCGGTGTGGGATGCCCGGCCTTGCAGGAGCCCCCAGGAGTGGCTGGAGGGCAGGGCATGATGCCTCTTGGGCCACTTTGCAAAGGGCTCACGAGCCTGCTGAAGAGCATGGATTTGATCAGGGTAACAGGGGTCGGCAGAGGGTGTTCCAAGGACAGGTTTGCCAAGAAGCGAGAAGAGCCTGGCGGGGAAGGATGGAGGCACTGGGTGTAGTCAGGCACCGTTGTAATTTCTGCGGTGAGAAGACTCTGTGGGGCGGGAAGACTCTGCGGGGCGGCCTGAGGGCGAGAGGGGCGAAAACAGAAACCCACGCTCCGAAGCTCCTGGCCCAGCTGCCAGGGTTTGGTGGCCCAGGACCAGCCTGCACGCAGCCTCGGGTGCCCGCTCCGGGCCCTGTCCCACGTGCGAGTCAGGCCTCTGAGTTCTTCCCGGGCCCTGTCCCACGTGGGAGCCAGGCCTCTGAGTTCTTCCCGGGCCCTGTCCCACGTGGGAGCCAGGCCTCTGAGTTCTTCCCGGGCCCTGTCCCACGTGGGAGCCAGGCCTCTGAGTTCTTCCCGGGCCCTGTCCCACGTGCGAGTCAGGCCTCTGAGTTCTTCCCGGGCCCTGTCCCACGTGCGAGTCAGGCCTCTGAGTTCTTCCCGGGCCCTGTCCCACGTGCGAGTCAGGCCTCTGAGTTCTTCCCGGGCCCTGTCCCACGTGCGAGTCAGGCCTCTGAGTTCTTCCCGGGCCCTGTCCCACGTGCGAGTCAGGCCTCTGAGTTCTTCCCGGGCCCTGTCCCACGTGGGAGCCAGGCCTCTGAGTTCTTCCCGGGCCCTGTCCCACGTGCGAGTCAGGCCTCTGAGTTCTTCCCGGGCCCTGTCCCACGTGCGAGTCAGGCCTCTGAGTTCTTCCCGGGCCCTGTCCCACGTGCGAGTCAGGCCTCTGAGTTCTTCCCGGGCCCTGTCCCACGTGGGAGCCAGGCCTCTGAGTTCTTCCCGGGCCCGCGCCCCGATGCAGTTGTCCGCGCTCTGAAAACCCTGAGCCATCGGTCGGGTCTTCAGCAGCATCTGCTCGTGCTGGGAACGTCCGACGGCGTTTCTGACTGTGGCGCACGCGTGGCAGGCACAGAAAAGGGACGCCTTCCAGAGAACCGCCCAAAGGGCAGGCGCTGCACGTGGCGTCGGGGAGGTCGCCGGCCCGTCCAGAGCCGCCCAGTGACCCTCCCGCGCCCTCCGGGGGCCTCTGCGGACGTCGCCGCGCTGGGCACGCGCGGTTTCGCGGGAAGCCGGGGGGCAGGTTCAAGGCTGGGAATTGAATTTTTTCTTCAGAAGCGCCTGTGCCCACCCCGGGTTTCTCTGGGGAAAAACACGAGATTAGTGCACTTCGCGTTTCTCTTCTTTAGATTTCACAACTACAGGCTGCAGGCCCAGGGCCGGAACTCCCGCCTCGCCTTCCCCCAGGCTCCACACGCGTCGTCGGGCTGGGGGCGGCGCCCCGGGGACCCCGCGGTGCTAGAGTTCCCGGCGTCCCCCGAACGCCCTCCGCGACCCCCACAGAGGAGCGCCTGAGCCGCCGCGGGGCACGCCGGGAGGGCGGCGCAGGCGGGTAATGACACTCGGGCGCCATATCCTGGACGCGCGTGCGCGGCGGCGGCCGAGACTCTGCTTCCCAGGGAGCCGCGCGGCGCGTCTACTTCCGGCGGGAGGCGGGGCCCGGAAGCGGCGCGCGGGGCCGGCGAATCCCGCGGCGCCAGGTCGGAGCGGGGCCGGAGTATGCGGGGCGGCCGGCGGTCAGCGGCGCGCGGCGCAGTCGTTTCCCCGCGGAGGTGGCGGCGGCGCGCGGCGGCTGTCCTGTGAGCGGCAGGAACGGCAGGCTGCGCGCGGGGCGGGCGGCCGAGAGGCGGGTGGGCCGGGGGCGTCGGGTACGGGGCGGCCATGTGGAGCGGCCGCAGCTCCTTCACCAGCCTGGTGGTGGGCGTGTTCGTGGTCTACGTGGTGCACACCTGCTGGGTCATGTACGGCATCGTCTACACCCGCCCGTGCTCCGGCGACGCCAACTGCATCCAGCCCTACCTGGCGCGGCGGCCCAAGCTGCAGGTGAGGGGCCGGGGGCGGGCGGCTTGGGGCGGGGGCCTCTCCTCCAAGCCGGGGCCGCCGCCGTCCCGTCCCCGCCAGTCGAGATGGAACCCCTCCTGGTCCGCAGCGGCCAGGTCTTCCGCCCCCGGCTGGCCGTGGGGTACCGGTGCGTCCTGCAGGGCCCAGCTGACGGCGCCCCCTCCTCTGCAGCTGAGCGTGTACACCACGACGCGGTCCCAGCTGGGTGCCGAGGACAACATCGACCTGGCCCTGAACGTGGAGGACTTCGATGTGGAGTCCAAATTCGAGAGGTATGAGCGAAGGACAGAGTGCCGAGAAGGGGAGAAGACCACTCGTGTTTAGAGTGCCGAGGAGTCGCTTTCCGTGCACAGCGTGTCACCTCGGAGAACTGGGAAGCGGTCGCACGTTTAACCCGAGGACTGTTCTCCTGGAAGGGGCGGGTGACGAAGTGTGGTTTGGGAAGCAGCTCTCGGCAGAGCCGGAGGCCGTGGGACGTGCTGCGGCCGAGACTCCAGAGGAGCAGGGGCCCCGCCCGGCGACCCGGTGCGGAGCAGGCAGCTCGTGCAGTTTCACTGCCTGGGACAGCTTGTCTTTTCCTGGTGGGAGTAGTCCGCTTAAGTTACTTGTGCAGGAAAAGGGATGAGGATGGAGGAAGCAATTTTGTAGAAAATCGTAGTTAAGTGACGTGTGACAGACATTAGAATAGATCAGTGTCCAAATATGTAGCGTTAACTTTAAAAGTACATCTAACGTATGGTTTTTTTAATTGCATAAGTATAATTTTAAGTATGATTTGCTTCTCACAGCTCTACCATTTCCCTTCTTCATTGCCTGGGAGGTGTCTGAGGAGAGAATCGGGAAAGTCTGAGCCGCATGCTGGACTCAGTGCCCTCTAGGTGGCCAGTCACTGTGGGTACCTGGAGGCGGTGCCCTGGGGAGGCAGCAGTGCAGCACTGGCAAGCTGGGTTCTGCCAGCCTCTTTGCCACTTACTGCCCTCTCTGCCTCGGTGAAATGGAGGCTGGATGTGCTGGCTTGGGCACCTGTCAGTCGTGACTGCCAACACCTTTCAGAAATGCCCAGGTTACACTTGCATTGGCTTTAATTTCCCAAACACGAATGCTGCCTCTTCCGTGCTGGGCCCTGTACCAGTTACCAAGGACAGCTAGTGAGTTTACCATTTCCCCTGGCACAGTGCCAGCCTGGAGGAAGGGGGAGAATGAATGCTCTGACACGGCACCCCCTCAGCGTCGCCACGTAAACATTCTCTGCAGGACTTGGGCACACAGCCCTGCCACCTGCCCCACCTGAAGAGACACTTAGATGTCCTGGTGGAGACGTACTGTCTTTCCTGGGTAGTGTGAATCCCTAGATCCCTTTGCGTTTTTCATTAGAACTTTGGCAGTATGATTTTTAAGGAGAGGCCGGGCACTCATGCCAGCAGTTTGGGAGGCCAAGGCGGGAGGATCACTTGAGCCCAGCAGTTTGAGACCAGCCTCGGCAATGTGACAAAACCCCATCTCTACAACAGTTTTAAAAGTTAGCCGGACGTGGTGGCATGCACACTGGTCCCAGCTAATCGGGAGACTGAGATGGGAGGTCACGAGCTTGGGAGGTTGAGGATGCAGTGAGCTATGATTGCACCCCTGCACTTCAGCCTGGGTGACAGCGAGACCTCATCTCAAAAAAAAGCTTTTTAAAGAGGGAGAGGAACTAATGTAATTACCCATAAATAGGTGGAATGCCTGGTTCTTCCATGGGACTGTAGTGTGGACATTGGGCCCTGGCGTGAAGGTAAAGAGGCGCCTGGTCTGAGGCCTACAGTGGTAGCAGCTCACTGGGCCTTTCCTCAGCTCGCCCTGGATGCCAGCACAGGGCAGACAGGCTTCAAAGTCAGTCCTTTGTGGTTGATAATCCTTTTATCTTTAAAAATGCAACACCCAGAAAAACTATCCACATGAAATTTCCCAGACTTCAGTAGTAGACCGAAGCACATGGGCGCTTGCGGCTGCCTGCCCTTCGCTTCTCTGGCTTTTGAGTTGTATTATTCGGTGTGTGTGGTCAACTGGTATCCTGGCAAGGCCCAGATGCTGCTTTTGGCCGCTTCAGCCCTGTGGCCTCAGGCAGGTCATTGACCTTTCAGCCTCCCGAGATGGAGTCAGGAAGTGTGGGCCCTCCTGCTTTCAGTTGTAGATACCCACACTCAGGACACACACACCCAGGACTCATAAAACCCCAGGCAGGTGGGTTTCATTTTTAGTATTTCTGAGCTAAAATTAGTTGATTGAAACAGCTTTATAAAGATAATTGAATAGTCTCTAGACACAGAATGTAATATGGATGCAGTGGAAAGGATTGTTCGTTCTGTTTCAGGACAGTTAATGTTTCTGTACCAAAGAAGACAAGAAATAACGGGACGCTGTATGCCTACATCTTCCTCCATCACGCTGGGATCCTGCCATGGCACGATGGGAAGCAGGTGCACCTCGTCAGTCCTCTGACCACCTACATGGTCCCCAAGCCGGAAGAAATCAACCTGCTCACTGGGGCATCTGATGCACAGGTGAGGCTCTTCATGGATTACTGAGAGAACGAACAGGCTTTGCCTCCGTGTCAGAATTGACGTGTCTTTCTCCACACAGGCAGGCGATGTCCAGGGCTCCAGTGACTTTGTGGGGAGCAAAGCCTTTGGGATGTCACTGACATGCTTTTTTGACTTTCGACTGAATCATATCCATGAGTTCGCAGACAAGTTTGATCTAAAATTAGGGACAGATGACGTGATACTGGCATTCTTTATGCAGAGTCCCTCAAGGGTGGGCCCTCTCAGTCTCTGGGGGTACCTGCCTCCTCCTGGTGGGATGGGGCGTTGGTCCCACAGAGCGGGCCTGCAGCTTCTCACCGGGAGCTCTGGGAATGAGCTGAGCTCATTCTGCATTATGTGTAGGACTGGGCACTTCCTAGATTTTATTCTAAGAATATAACTCAAGATTATGGAAAGAGTAGCGGTACAAGGTATAGTTTGTACATCTGTAGAAAGGCGTGTGTACAAAGAAAAACTGGAAGTCACTTAAGTGATCATTAACACGGGCCAAGGATAAAGCAAGGGAATTCTGATGCCCACCTCTGTTGAGTGGAAGGTGAGGTAAGTTACCGAACAAGACCAGAGCCTGTAATCCCAGCACTCTGGGAGGCCGAGGCGGGGGGTCACCTGATGGCAGGAGTTTGAGAACAGCCTGGCCCACATGGTGGACCCCCATCTCTACTAAAGATATAGAAATTAGCTGGGTGTGGTGGTGGGTGCCTGTTACCCACCTACTCAGGAGGCCAAGGCAGGAGAATCACTTGCACCCGTGAGGCGGAGGTTGTGGTCAGCTGAGATGGCACAGCTGCATTCCAGCCTGGGTGGCAGAGCAGGACTCCACCTCAGAAAAAAAAAAAATTACAAAACAAAGATGGCAGCTTTCCAGGAAGAGGCTGTGAAATTATTCTAGAGTTCAGTGTCTCAGGGTTGACGGGGTTTTGGAAGCTGCCAACACCTGCTCCTACCTCTCGGTGCATGTCTGTGTCTTGTGGGGAACATCCCTCACCTGCCACCCTCCATGTCACCTTCACCTGGGGCTGGCCTCCCTCCTCACCAGCATCCTGAAGAGTGGGTGGGGTAGTGGGTATGGAGCATGCAGCACAGGGAGCCTCCCTTACAGGTGGCAAATGTAAGGAGGTGTGAAAACCCTTTCTTTTTTTGAGATGGAGTCTTGCCCTGTCACCCAGGCTGGAGTGCAATGGTGCGATCTCACCTCACTGCAACCGCCACCTCCTGGGTTCAAGCGATTCTCCTGCCTCAGCCTCAGTAGCTGGGATTACAGGCGTGTGCCACCACACCCGGCTGATTTTTGTATTTTTAGTAGAGATAGGGTTTCCCCATGTTGGTCAGGCTGGTCTCAAACTCCTGACCTCATGATCCACCTGCCTCGGCCTCCCAAAGTACTGACATTACAGGCATGAGCCACCATGCTCATCCTGAAAACCCATTTTTAATGTAAATTATTGCTAAACTGTATCTTTTGGTGGGAAATGGGTAGGGCGATAGTGTGTCCAGGGGTGTCAGGTCTGAAATGAGCTCAGATTCCCTGTCAGCGGGTGCCCTTCTCCGTTTGACTTCATTGAAGAGCTATGCGCAGTCCTCGGTGTGTCTCCATTAGGGCAACCCAACGTGCCGACCCCTTCGGGCTCCTTACAGCTGCAAGGCTGTGTTAGCCTTGGATTTGTACAGTCTTCTACCAGGGTCACGGGGCTCTTGCCCCTCTCAGCTTCCGAGAAGTGGGCCCACATAGTTTGAGAATCTCAAAAAAGAAATTGGTAAACCCGTGACCACGTACTGCAAAGCAGCACTCCTGGGCTTCCATGGAGATAAGGATGGGGGTGTTTGGTGAGAGTCTGGGGGAGTTGGCAGCTGTGGGGCCGCAGTGCCCTCCGCTGGACTCCTTCCCCAGTCATGCCTGTCTGCGTGGCTGCCCTGTTCATAGGTTGTGGTGCTGACCACCTGCTGTCCTGGGCATGGTTTGCCCGTCTGTGTGGCTGTTGCTGTGCACCTGTCCCAGGCACCTGTTGTGCCCGTCTGCATGGCAGTGTTGTTCACAGGTTAGGGTGCTGACCATCTGCTGTTTGAGCACGATATTCTGTCCAAGCATTGGCCTCTGTTTTCCTCACTTAGCAGCAGATCGAGGCGGAGAAGAAGCCAGCGAGCGCCCTGGATGAGCCGGTGTCCCACTGGAGACCGCGGCTAGCGCTGAACGTGATGGCGGACAACTTTGTCTTCGACGGGTCCTCCCTGCCTGCCGACGTGCATCGGTACATGAAGATGTAAGTGCGGCCCCAGAGCTAGAGCGCCAGGAGAGGTCACTGGAACCCTGGCTGGCCAGAACCTGCCAGCAGGTCACTGTGTCCTGGAGCCCCTCTGTGGCAAGGCACTGGCTGCCTTGGGCCCCCCAGCTCCTCCCACTTCCTGGTTGAGGTTGTGCTGTTAGCGCAGGGTTGGAAGGGAGAAGAAAGGAGTTCAGGCTGCAGCATCCTGCCCGTTGCTCCTGACTTCGAAGGCTTCCACGGAGAGAAAATGGAAGGTGCTGACGGGAATGTGTTGCTTTGCTCCCCTTGTGATTGTTTAACTTGGCTGGTTTAGATTCACATGAAAGTTAATCTTTAGATCTTTAGTATCACTTCCCATCAGTTGAATATGATTACTGGAATTCACATGTTTGGCTGACTGAGCTCACCCCATCTCCCACGTGTTGGGGAGCCCCCCACTCTTGAGCTGCAGGTCCACCTCCCGGGTAGCTGCGGGTGACTCGTCCCTCCAGGCGTAGTGGCCATGTACTGGGACTGCTCCGTGTCAGTGCGCAGAGGGCCCTGGGCTCAGCTGTGCAGCTGTGTCCCTGGAGTTCCCCCACTCCTCCCACCTATGCCCATCACTTCACGGGGAGTGGGTCTCACAAGCCTGCATGCCTTGTCAGGCTCTCTGCCTCCTTTTGGGAAGGCTGTGCCCAGGGGTCACTGTGACTGAGAAGCTGTTGAGGGTACTTCCGGGGGTACTTCTCTGGGGTAAATGTGGTGTCTGGATGTGTTGATGCATCAGAAGGTGAGAAAGTTGTGCTTTAATCCCAGGATCCAGCTCGGGAAGACCGTGCATTACCTCCCCATCCTGTTTATCGACCAGCTCAGCAACCGCGTCAAGGACTTGATGGTGAGCGATGCCTCTGCCCACTGGTAGTGCAGCTGGCAAGACACTGACCCCAAGACTGGCCGCATCACCCCAGCATCCTTATGGACAGGGCCATCGCTGACACTTGGCGTGGAGCTTTTGCCTGTGCTGGGAAGCACTGCCTTCAGGCACGCGAGGGCTGTGACGGGGGCCTGGGGGTGCGCCGGCTTTGCTGTTAGCTGGCTACGGGGTCCTCCTGAGCCTCTGGATCCTCACTGGTGAGACCTGAAAGTTTGTTTATTTGGCACTTAGAGGGCGGGCGCCTGAGTGCCGTATGAGACGGTGTCTGCGTGTGAGCTCCTGGTGTGCTGTGTAGTTTAACTCAGAAAGTGTCCCGAGCAAACTCCTGCTTTCCTGCCAGGGCTGGTCCTGCACAGGGGGCCAGAGGAGTGGGTGACAGCCCTGCCTGGGAGCTGCAGCTCCTGGGGTGGCCCCTGGCAAGGCAGAGAGACCTATTTGGAAGAGAAGTGGCTGCCCTCTGGGCTCCGGCGCCCCATGGTTACAGGAGTGACAGTGCCAGTTCTCCCAGGGTTGCTTTGAGGGTAGAGGAAGTGTGGCCAACATGTGACCTTTAATAAAAGCAGTTAGTATTTAAAGTCCCTTACTCCGCATGAGGCACTGCGCTAAGCACTTTGTGAATGTTCCTGTAATCGTGGTGCTGGGAGCTGTGGCATTGTTTCACGGGTGAGGTCATAGTGCTCAGAGGTGAATGCTCAGCCTGGACCCTACAGGACTCGCCACCCTGCCCCGCCTCCCTGCAGGCCATCACTGCCACTCCGGGGCGCCCACTAGGAGCCAGGCCACGTGTTCTTCCACTTAGAGCTTTGAGTAGCTCTGAGGCGGGCCCTTTTTCTGTTTTTGCTGAGGAAACAGGCCTGGGGAGGGCAGGGAGCTTGCTGGGGTGTGCAGCTGGGACACAGGGGAGCGGGTACCTGGCCACTTGGATCTGCCCAGGCCCTGCTGCCTCCTGATGACTGTGGCTCTCGGAACAGTCCCTCTATCTGGCTGTCCCTCAGACCCCTCTCAGTTCCTAACATACTGCCTCCTTCACTTCAGCAGGCCCTGACCACTGCTATACAACCTGCAGGCTGGGGGCCAGGCAGGCAGCAGCCAGTGAGCAGGTCTGGTGGCTCCAGCCTCTCCCTGAGCAGTTTCTCTCTTGGCCCCTACAGTTCTAGCGCCTTGCTCTGTTTGCTGGAGTTTGCTGAGGTGCAGCTTACAAACCTCAGGACATAGCAGGTTTTGCTAAAACACACCATAGGGAGCTTTGGAAGCTGCGGCACCTGCTGGTGGTGGCTGCTTGTGAGGCCTCGTGCCGCTGACTCCTTGCAGTCATTCAGGAAACAGTGGACAGGGACCGGCAGCTGCAGAAGGCTGTCCTGTGTGTCTGCAGATCGGGGCAGCTCTGCAGCGCACCTGTGCCAGTGGTGGCCTATGTTCCAGTGGTCAGGGAGGCATGTCGGCAGCAGCTTTCCCTTGAATCACAGTCGCATGTGTCACTGTTGCTTTTTCTCACTTGGGGCCAGTTTTGAGGGGTGCTGTCTTGAGACATGAAGCAGGCAGCTGGATGCAGCAGGCACAGGAAGTGGGTGCCTTCTGTGGCTGGACCCAGCAATGCCAGACAAAGCCTCGGGCAGTGGCATCCCTCAGACACTTGGCAGCTCGAGGGGCTCTTGGAGGCCACTGTCCACGTGCACTGATGCCGCTTGGCTGTGTAGGGTGCCCTGACAGCTGGCAGCTGCTCTCCGAACAGCCTGGCACCTGCTGGTTGTGGCTCTGACTCCACCACTCCCTTGACCCCAGCAGTGCGTGCTGGGATGGGTCAGGACCTGAGGCAGGGCAGGTGGATCAGAGCACAGCCCTCGCCGGATGTCCCAGCATGTGGAGGGAGAGTGGTTATTGCCTCTTGCTGTAGGGCGTGGGCTTGCCCTCATGAAGCCCCTCCTTACCCTCCTGCCTTGGCACCCTGGGACCTGGCCCACAGCCTGTGTGCATAAGGCCCTGGTGGGCTGCAGGACTAAGCTCATGGTTCTGAGGCCCACACGTCAACTCCACCGCCTGTGTTGGTTCTGCGTTCCAGAAGCTTTCTTTTATCCCATGGCTACCCCCTGCACCGTGCGTTAGGTCCTGAAGGCACTTTGCACATGTGCTGCAGGGGTTGTTCGTGTCCCATGGTCTCTGGTTCCTGGGACAGGCCGGGGCTCTGTAGGCCGTGCTCGGCATTGTATGCTGTCCCACGGATTTCTAGCACCACCCCCTGGGGCGCCAGGACTTGTGCCACTTAGAAATTGAAGGGGCATGCACAGCAGAACATACCGGGGCCTGGGTCACATGGTGACAGAAGGAGGGACCCAGGGATGCTTGCTGGTCCTGGTCATGGCTGACCTGGGGCCGCCCAGGGATGGGAACGGGGATAGCAGGGTTGGCCAGGGCTGCCTTGTGGCTGGCTGCAGGGGAATGAGGGGACAGGCCTGAGACTGGCTCAGTCGCATGCTGGTCCTCAGTGTGGCTCTCTTCCCGCAGGTCATAAACCGCTCCACCACCGAGCTGCCCCTCACCGTGTCCTACGATAAGGTCTCGCTGGGGCGGCTGCGCTTCTGGATCCACATGCAGGACGCCGTATACTCCCTGCAGCAGTTTGGTGCGTGCCCCGTGGCCAGCGCCTGGATGAGGCTGCCCTGGGGCCCCTCAGGTGTCCAAGTCCTGACACAGGCCGGGACCTCCGTGCCTCCGGGTGCAAATCCTTGCAGAGACATTGAACTGGAGGTTCCTCAGTGCCCACCTCATTCCTTTCCTTGGAAATGGCCTGCTTGACTGTTTGGAACTTGGCTTTATTAAGAACATAATGTGTGAAATGCCGTGATTTTGGTCAGATGAACCCTAACTGCTGGCAAGATTTAATTTTCTTTTTTTTGAGATGGAGTCTCCCTCTGTTGCCCAGGCTGGAGTGCAGTGGCATGATCTTGGCTCACTGTAACCTCCGCCTCCCAGGTTCAGGCGATTCTCATGCCTCAGTCTCTCCAGTAGCTAGTATTACAGGTATTTGCCATCAGTCCTGGCTGAGTTGTATTTCTGGTAGAGACGTTCGCCATGTTGGCCAGGCTGTCCCAAACTCCTGACTTTAAGGCACCCGCCTCAGACTCCCAAAGTGCTGGGATATCAGGCATGAACCACTGCGTCCAGCCTACATTTTTATATTGAAAACTGTATTTGTCATGTTAGGTAGGATTGGCACGGCCTGTTTTACATTCTATGTTCTTTTCCCTTGGCAGGGTTTTCAGAGAAAGATGCCGATGAGGTGAAAGGAATTTTTGTAGATACCAACTTGTACTTCCTGGCGCTGACCTTCTTTGTGGCAGCATTCCATGTGAGTCGTCTGCCGGGAGTAGTGGGCGTGGGCTCTGGGGAGGCTCCCTGGGCCCTGGGCCTCCCGTAGGGCCTCTGGACCTGGGGTTTGTGTCCAGCCCTGTGGCCCTCAAGCATCCTCTCCCGTCACTCAGCAGCCAACACACCTGACACTTGGCAGCCACTGTCCCAGTGGACGGTTTCTCCCAGTTCTGAAAAGGGGGTCCCATAGAGCTCCATCCACAGCCTTGGGGACTTGGTCTGTGCTGGCTTTGGGGGCAGTTTTGGAAAGCGGATCCAGAGCACTCTAAGCAGTGTACACACCAGTGAGATGAATAGGCACAGGTGTCTCCCTCTCCCTGCCCAGGCCCTGGCCCCGGCCCCACACACACCCATGTAGAGCTGGGCAGCCTCCCGCAGAAAGCAGCTTTCTTGTATTTTAAACTTAAAAAGTCAGTCCTGTGTGTGTACAGTAGTGTCCCTTATCCTCAGGCGATATATTCAAAGACCGTCAGTGGATGCCTGAAACCAAAACCTGAAGACTGGTTTATCCTGCATTTATAAGTTAATATGTTCATGGTGCTCATGATAAAGTTTAACATTAAGTCAGGCACAGTGCGAGGTTAATGATAACTGGTAACAGACAGGTATGACAGTGTACTGTAGTAAAGTGACATGGGTGTGGCCTCACCCTCGGAATGTCTCATCACACTGCTCCGTGGGCACCTGAAGCCACGCCAGACAGCAAACCACAGGGGCAGCCAGGCTGCTGTGCTCCTGTGTGTGTCATGGAGTTGAGCTGCTGGAGGAGTGCCGTCTTGTGGCTGTTAGGCTGGCTTGTGGTGAGGCTGGAAGGGGAGGAGCCACCCAGGGGTGCTATCAGCACCAGTTCTGAATGCCTGGGAATTTGGCTCCCAGAGAAGCTAAAACTTCCCAAAGGCATGCTGGAGAATTAAATGATTTCTATAAAAGGTTATTGTGTGTAAGGAGCTCGTGCATGTTTGGGTTTTTTAAGACTCTTTTCTGAGACAGTTCTCACTATGTTGCCCAGGCTGGTCTCAAACCCCTGGGCTCCAGCCTTGGCCTTACCATAGCTGGGACCACAGGCATGGGCCACCACCTGCAGCCACCCTGCGTTTTTAGCACGGTTGAGAGGCGAGGCTGCCCTGCGTAGCCACATCCTGAGAGCAGGGTCGGGGCACCCCACTGGCCCCACGCTCTGGCGGAATCCAGCGCCTCCACTTCCGGTGGGCTTTCCAGCAGTTCCAGTTGAAGATGTGTTTATTTCACAAGTACCCCTGCGAAGCCCACCTTGGCATTCTAGGTTCTGACGTGGCAGGCGGGCGTGTAGAGGTGTGGGTCCTGAGTGTGGGCATCTGTCCTGATGTGTCCTGAAGCTGGGCACACCTGCAGTCTCACGGTCACACATGAGACCTCTGTGTCTCTCACAGGAGATAGAAACAGCTAGAGATGCGAGTTGCTGTTGTGTCTGTTCTCTTTAGCTTCTCTTCGATTTCTTGGCCTTTAAAAACGACATCAGTTTCTGGAAGAAAAAGAAGAGCATGATTGGCATGTCCACCAAGGCAGGTAGGCGCCCCACGCGTGGCCCTGCTCAGGCACACTCTGCCCTGGGGGAGCTCACTGGAGCGAGCCTGCGGTTGATGGCTGTCCACCTCGCTGCCGGCTCAGACACAGCCCCTGGAGCACGTGCTTGGCTCTTGAGAAGCCTCTGGGGCATGGTAAAACCCAGGGAGCCTTGCTACAGTGGTGTGACCTTGGCCTTGCCATAGCTGGGACCACAGGCGTGGGCCACCATGCCCAGCCTCCCCTGCTTAGCACAGTTGAGAGGCGAGGCTGCCCTGTGTAGCCACAGCCTGAGAGCAGGGTAGGGGTGCCCAGCTGCCTCGCTCAGGGCCTGGCTGTGAATTCTGTGGCATGCATGGGGTCTGGGTCTGGGCCTGGGCTATGGAGAGAGATGCATGGACCTGTCAGGCCTTCCCGGCTGCTCATGCCTGCTGAGGTGGGGCTGCAGCCTCGTATCCCCTGCCTCCGTTCCCTCACCCCATCCTCCCACCGGCTTTCCTTCTCCATCCAGAACAGGCCTGGGTGTGGGGGTCTTGCCGCGTGACAGTGTGCCTGGCAGTGATGGGCAGTGTGCAACTGTTAGGGCAGGTGGTCAGGGACCCCTGAGGCCAGGCAGGAGGCCTGCCAAGATCTGGGACTAGCGTTCCTCGCCAAGGGTGCCTGCCATGGTGGGGGGGGGGACCCGAGTGGGGAGAGAGGGGTCCTCCTGACCTTGCAGAGGTGGGGGTTGCCACTGCGGGGTTGGGGGCAGTGTCAGGACGGGTGAGGGGTGACAGGTGTGAGAACGAGCAGTGGGTGTGTCCTGTTGGTTAGGAGTGAGGAGTGTTTGGCTCCACTGTCAGGCCCAGATGGGTTTTCTCACCTAGGAAAGATGCCCAAGCAGGTGGTCCTGGGTGCTCCGGGGCCCTGCTGTCTCCTAACCCTCGTGCCTTTCCAGGCGTTCTAAGCTGGGGTGTCCCAACAGACAGTGGCTGTGGCCATGACCACCATTTGTCGTGTGGCTCCCTGGCATCTGCTTCCCCTCCTGCCCTGGGGGCGCTCGGGGGGAGGGATGTGTGAATGAGGTGGGGTGGGTTCTTGAGGCACAGCTGCGGAGGAACAAAGTACAGGCTTGAGAAGCTGCATGAGTATCGCAGAACTGGCATAAAACTGGACCGGAAGCAAAGCTGTGGGGCCCCGTCATCCGACCTCAGCCCACGCTCCACGTTCATTTGCAAGTGTGGCTCAGATGCGTGCTTGTGGAGCTGGCGTGGGGCAGCCTTCAAGACACTGTCCTGGCTGCTGAATGGTCCACTGTCCTTAAACGGGATGACATGGTCTGGGAGTACCTGAAGCTGCTTGAGTGTGGAGGGTTGGGAGGGGGGCGGGGATATGTATGCGTGTGACTTGGGGGGCACAGGCGGGGTCTGCTTTGCACCCCCCCAAGCCCGACTGTCCTGTCCCCAGTGCTCTGGCGCTGCTTCAGCACTGTGGTCATCTTCCTGTTCCTGCTGGATGAGCAGACGAGCCTGCTGGTGCTGGTCCCGGCCGGCATCGGAGCCGCCATCGAGGTGAGTCCCGGCCGATGCCCCTCAGCACACGCAGGAAAGGCTCTGATCTGCGGAAGCCTGCAGGCTTGTTCCCTGTGGTCTGTGTTCTGGAAGCTGTGGGACGGCAGGCAGCAGCCTAAGGGCTTTGAACAAGTGGAGAGCAGGGAAGTGGGCATTCTGAGGGAATCCGGTCACGAGGCCCCGCCACCAAGGAAAGTGTTTTCACACGCTTGAGAAATCCCACCATGTGCGAAGCAGAGACGTGAATTGGGGCCTTGAGAGGCTGCTGCCTTGGCTGATGTCTGAGCATGGTGGCCAGGTGGGCAGTGACGGAAGTCACCTAGTGCCCTGGTTCCAGCCTGGTTGGTTGGAAGCTCAAAAAAGCTAGCCAAAAGGGAGCCTCGTTGGGCAGGGCCAACTTGGGAGCAAAACCTTGAGCAGGGTGATGGCCTTCAGAGTGAGAAGCCCCAGACTCTGCCTAGCTCCTCCCTCAGCTTCTGTGCCACCCGGGGGGAGCCAGAGTCCGAGGGCCCACAGCTGATGGCCCATCCGTGGGTGGGGGCCTGTGTGGCCATATTCCTGTTGAGGAGGAGCTGGATTAAATGGCGCTGGGGCACCACAGGCAGAGGGTCCTCCATAGGCATGCGTCACAATGCTGAGCCCATCTCAGGCACTAGTCCTGAGCTTTGTGAGTGATACCGGCCAAGGACACGACAGGCTCCAGGGCTGCCCGAGTACCAGGCAGGAGGAGGTGGGGGCTGACTTGGGTGCAGGTGCGTGGCTTAGAGAACCGCACTTGTGTGCTGCTTTTGTCGCCTGCCGGGTAGTGGCTGTGGAGCCCACCTGATCAGGTACACCTGCCGGGCGTGGATTAGAGGCCCAGGTCCAGCCTGAGCTGTGGGCGGGCAGGAAGAGGCGGTGGGCGGCGGGTCCTGTCCGTTACTGTCTGGGTCATTCGTTCTGGGTCTCCTGGCCTTGGAATACTAAAGGAGCAATTTCCCGACTTCCCCCTCAGCTGTGGAAAGTCAAAAAGGCATTGAAGATGACTGTTGTTTGGAGAGGCCTGAGGCCCAAGTTTCAGGTAGGAGCCCTCTGAAGATTCTGTGGTTTTCCCAGGCACAGAGTAGGGTGCCGTCAGCGGATGACTCCCTGCGGCCTCTGTCCGGGGAGCCTCTGAGGTGGACGCTGCACCGCCTTTCCAGTCTCAGCCGCTCTGTTCACCTGAGGATTCCCCCACCCTGTACCTACTTCTGACCCTCTTCAGTGCAGACGGCCAGCACTTCCGGGCCTGAGACGGCCTCTGGGAGAAAGGATGCTGCTGGCCAGTGCGGATGCTTCGGTTTGGTACCTTGCCTAGAGGGCACTCCCGAGGCTGGTGCTGACTGGGGTCAGTACAGGCCCGACGATCCCCAGTGAGCAAGCCTCTGCCCTGAGCTGGTGGCTGCCCCAGTGCCCAGCACTGATAAGGCCCCCAGGCAGGTGAGGGCTGGGCAGAGCCGGAGTTGAGACTCCACCCCCACAGATGGACCTTGATTGCAGCAGGCCCCCAGCAGTCACAGCCCCGCTTTTCTGTGCTGTGGGCAGAGGGAGGGCAGAAAGCCCAGCAGATGGGGCACAGCCACTGTGTTCCTCCCGGCTGGCTGGTTCAGAGCAGGGTCAGGTGTGCCTGTGCACTCTGTGACGTTCTCACTGAAGCGGCAGCACTGAAAACGGAGCTGCCACTCGAGGAACATGGATGAGGCCACGCTGCCCCACTTGTGTGGCTTGTGGGACCCAGGGCCAGGGCGAGGCGGGAAGGGTCCCTGCAGATCCCTTTCCTCGGGTCTCTCCTCGCCTGGTCAGGACTGGAGCGCCATCTGGGTGGCTCTAAAGACCAGAGCCTGGGTCAGCTCTGCAGCCGTGTGCGGGGCTCCTTAGTCACAGCTCAGCTGTGCTCAGATACCTTTCCTGAGTCTGCTGACGTCACTGTGTTTCATCTCACAACAGTTCGGCACTTACAGTGAGTCTGAGAGGAAGACTGAGGAGTATGATACTCAGGTAAGTCCGTGCAATTCGCGGCACGTGCATGCCAGGCAAATACAGCGCCCTCGGAGACGGGGCTTATACTGTCGGTGCTCACAGCGAGTCTCCGTGGAGTGCGGGGCAGCCCACCCTGAGCAGGGATCCGGAGAGCGAACACGTAAAAGCCACGTTTCTTACTGGGAAGGGCATGGCTCCCAGAGACTCATTCCCCGGCCCTTGCGGGCACAGCCTACAGCAGGACATTTTCATCCTTTGTGAGTCACGTTCGCCAGGCAGCTGGCACAGGCCGTGGTGTCTGCTGTGATTGCTGGGAACCACTTGCTGTCAGCAAGCCCATAACAGCCGCAGAAGCACAGTGGCCTGGGTGGGGTGCTGGCCCTGAGCTGACAGGGGTCCTGGAGCCCCAGCCTCTGCTGCCCAGCGCAGGGTGTCACCTTTCCCCATTGCTGTTGGGGGAGCTGGAAGTCGCGGTTTGATTTAATAGAACGTTTCTGCACAGGAATGAGTTGAGTTTGGTTGAATGTCCACCAGTTTCTATCAAACATGTATTGAGCTCTAAGGCTGAAATCAGAATACACAGAGCTAGTGATGCAACTGCATGACTTAGAAGGCGGTTTTTCTGGATCTTTCTATTCTGTGTATTGGTCTGTTGTGGGCCGGTTGTTTTTGACCAGGCAGAATCGATCCGTTACTGTGAGCTAGCGCCTGGAGTACACCTGGGCTGTGGCGTGTGTGGTGCCTCTTGGGGCTGTGGCGCATGCCCAGTGCCCTGCATGCCGCCCCTGCCCAGCAGCCCTGCCACCCCAAGTGCTGTCGCCTGTACTGTCTGTCCCCGTCGTAGTGAGTTCCGTGCAGTGCGTTTACAGAGACTTGGCGTTTGGGACCCTAACTGGAAGCCGCTTTGTTCCCTGCAGGCCATGAAATACTTGTCCTACCTGCTGTACCCTCTCTGCATCGGGGGTGCTGTCTATTCACTCCTGAACATCAAGTATAAGAGGTAGGAGGCTGCACACAGTACACCTGCTGTGCCTTCCCCCCGAGAAATCCACCTGGATGACTGAGAGCACCAATCCGGAGGGCCAGCGTGGGGCCAGGGCACTTGGACTAGCGCCTGGGAGGGGGCCCGGCCCCTGCCACCACATATGGTGGGCCCTGGGCCTCAGTGTCCTCCCCACTAAGGTGTAGTTGACGAGAGGCTAACTCTGGCCACCAGGCTTCATGGGAGGCTCCGCCCTGAGTTGAGAGGTGTCCCAGAGCCCCTGGACTCTGTTGCCCGATTGGGGTGCTGGCCCTGAGTTCCTGAGTTGAGCAGGGTCTCGGAGCCCCCAGCCTCTGTTGCCCAGGTGGGGTTGTTGGCCCTAAGCTGAGAGAGTCCCAGAGCCCTCTGCCTCTGGTTTCCCAGGTTGGGGGCTGGCCCTGAGCTGAGAGGGTCCTGGAGCCCCCGGCCTCTGCTGCCCGGGCGGGGGTGTTCTGCGCTGTCCCCAGCCTGAGACCCAGGCTCCGCCCTGCTGCCCAGCTGCCTTGAGAGCACCTGGGTGTTTTTAGAGGATTTTTAATGAAGGAGTTATTTTTAGTCAATTTAATACAGATTCTAAGCTATGCGAGAAATGGGACTTTTCAAAGTTACAACTCGATTTTTTTCCATTTCAGCTGGTACTCCTGGTTAATCAACAGCTTTGTCAACGGTGAGTTCTTGTGCTTCCCTGCTTCAGTCGCTCTGTTTACAGCAGGCGCCAACTTAATTGTTCTTGCATTGAACCCAGTGTGGCAGACACCCCTGTGATTTGAGGCTGATCCCTCCCCACCCCGGGGGTTTAGGCACCTCTGCAGTGCCCAGGGCTCCCCCAAGGCTGTGAGCAGATAAAGCCCTGTGTGGCTTCAGAACACTGACTGGTTCTGAGAAACAGGTCCTTGTACAGCGGTGGGAGTGCTCTTAGGCCCAGATGCTGCAGCCAGTCCACGCCAGCCCGTGTGGTGCAGCCACCCTGACACACGTGGTCCATCTCGGATCAAAACATCGTCGTGTGGTGCGGGACTGTTGTGTTTTCTTCATGAAAACAAACTCAAGCATTAAAACACCACCATCCGCATCCAGTTCCTTAGAACAAGTGGAAGCACCAGGCCCCGGTGCACGGCTAGCCCCTCCTGCACATGCGCTGTGGAGACCCCCATGGGGCCCTGGGAGGCCACATGTCCTGGGAGACCCGCCCACCTGCCCCCACCTGCCCCAGGTGGCACTTTCAGCTGCATGGCTGCTGTGTGCCTCCCCTGCCCCACCAGACCAGCCCTGATTGCAGCTTTGTGGTCTCTCTGGGAAGTGGTCTCATGAGCATTAAGGGCGAGGGCCTGTCTGCTGCAGAGCAGGTGGGTCCCAGACTGCCATCCTCCTGGGTGAGAGTCCCACATTTGACCCCTGAGGTGAGAGCTTGCGGGTCAGGAGGCCATGTCCTCACAGCACCAGGGTGCTCCAGTGCCCACACTCACTGGACCCCATGGACAGTAGTTACACCAATTAGTAAATAAAAGAGCTTTGCTCTCCAAAGTGGTCGTAGACTCTTGATAAACTTCCCAGCCAGAGAGCTGCTTCACAACGCTAGGAACTCTGAAGTTGTCTGGCTAGTAGGCCTTTTCTCTGCCCATTCTCCGTGGACGTGGCAGCCCGGCCCTCCACGCCCGTGAGTGCAGTCTGTCTTTCCGCAGGGGTCTATGCCTTTGGCTTCCTCTTCATGCTGCCCCAGCTCTTTGTGAACTACAAGGTAAGGCGGCGCGTGCTGCCCGCGGCCCCTTCTCCCATGCTGCCCACAGCCCGTGGCCCCTTCTCCCATGCTGCCCACAGCCCGCGGCCCCTTCTCCCGTGCTGCCCACGGCCCCTTCTCCCGTGCTGCCCTCGGCCTCTTCTCCCGTACTGCCCACAGCCCGTGCCCCTTCTCCCATGCTGCCCGCGGCCCCTTCTCCCACGCTACCCACAGCCCGTGGCCCCTCCTCCCGTGCTGCCCGCGGCCCCTTCTCCCGTGCTGCCCGTGGCCTCTTCTCCCGTGCTGCCTGCGCCCCTTCTCCCGTGCTGCCCACAGCCCGTGCCCCTTCTCCCATGCTGCCCGCGGCCCCTTCTCCCACGCTACCCACAGCCCATGGCCCCTTCTCCCGTGCTGCCCACAGCCCGCGCCCCTTCTCCCGTGCTGCCCGCGGCCCCTTCTCCCGTGCTGCCCGCGGCCCCTTCTCCCGTGCTGCCCACAGCCCGCGCCCCTTCTCCCGTGCTGCCCGCAGCTGACCTGTGCCTGTCTCTCCTGTTTCAGTTGAAGTCGGTGGCACATCTGCCCTGGAAGGCCTTCACCTACAAAGTGAGTGCAACAGCTGTTGAGGAGTCCCTTCTCCTCACTGAGCAGAGCATGAGCAAGGGCATCTTCCAGCCCACAATATTGCAGGGGGCCGCCTCTGCCCAGAGTGCCTCTGCAGCCATTCCTGGCACTGAAAAATATTGAGGAGGCTCCTTTAAAAACAGTGAGGAGCCGTAGAATAACTTCAGATCTGAAGGGCTGGGTTCTCTCACTTGGGGTCACAGATTGGGTTTTCTTTTTAGTTATGTTTCTTCTTAGCAAGTGTGTCAAGACAGACCTGTGGCCCAGTGACCGGTGCCTGGGGACAGTGGATTCAGGCCTCCCAGGCAGGACTGAAGTCCCATGGGTCGTGGCCATTCCCTGCCGCAGAGCCGTGGAGGCCCCTTTGGCTCCGTGGGATTAGAAGTGCTTAGTGTTGCGGGCAGAGCTCAGTTAATGCGATGGGATTCTGACTTTTCTGAAGTCAGTTACAGGCTCCAGAGGAAAGGGCAGTGCCCAGGCAGTCAGGCAGCTCTGCCCTTGGCTCTGGTTTCAGGCCCTTCTCTTTGGGTTCCCCGATGCGGGCGCCTGGGCAGAGCCTACGGGCGTCGGGTGCCCATGGCTGGGGGAAGCCCACGAGGGAGCAAAGGGCCTCTTCAGTTGCTGGTTTTCTGCTCTTTTTGGGAGGAGTTTCAGTTAGAATCATCTGCCAAAAGCTGTTTGCTTGGTTAGGTCACCAGAAACAATAGGGTTCCATCCCCAACAACTGGGTTCTCCCTCCCTCCCCCGTCTGGCCTCCATCCCCAGCAGCTGGACTCTCCCTCCCTCCCCCGTCTGGCCTCCATCCCCAGCAGCTGGACTCTCCCTCCCTCCCCTGTCTGGCCCTCCATCCCCAGCAGCTGGGCTCTCCCCCCCTCCCCCGTCTGGCCCTCCATCCCCAGCAGCTGGGCTCTCCTTCCCTCCCCCCATCTGGCCTCCATTCCCGGCAGCTGGGCTCTCCCCGCCTTCCCGTCTGGCCTCCATCCCCAGCAGCTGGGCTCTCCCTCCCTCCCCCCGTCTGGCCTCCATCCCCAGCAGCTGGGCTCTCCCTCCCTCCCCCGTCTGGCCTCTATCCCCAGCAGCTGGACTCTCCCTCCCTCCCCCATCTGGCCCTCCATCCCCAGCAGCTGGGCTCTCCCTCCCCCATGTGGCCTGCAGGCTTTCAACACCTTCATCGACGACGTGTTTGCCTTCATCATCACCATGCCCACGTCTCACCGGCTGGCCTGCTTCCGGGACGACGTGGTGTTTCTGGTCTACCTGTACCAGCGGTGGTGAGTGCCCTGGGCTCCTGGGCCGTCTTGGGTGCGTGGCCCTGCTGCTGAATGGACGGCACCTGTTCTTGCATTTGGGGAGAAAGATGATTTGCAGGTGGTGGTTTTTTCTGTGTTGCCTGAACTTGGGCTCCAATTGCCCATGATGCAACGCGGCAAGAAACTTCCCGCTGTCTCCTCGCTGTGCTTTAGAAATGCGAGTTTCTAAATGCGAGTGTGAATTACTGATTAGCCACAGAAGCAGGTTTCTCTCCATAAGCTGTTTACCTGTTCACTGCCATTGCTGTCGAGCAGAACAGAAACCGTGGCATGGCTTAACTAACTCATGCCTGCTGCTAGCCTCGAAGTGTCCAGCTGGCTGTCCTGGGGCCCACGTCTCCAGCGTCAGGAACAGGCTCTGGGCCACTCCTGGGCTGTGTCCTTGCAGGGCAGAGCATCACTGGAGACCTTGCTCACACCCCTTAAACCAGCCACCAGGGCCTCTGAAGACTGAATTGTGTGGACCTCCCAGCTTGACCTTCAGGTTGAAGGCTGACAGCTATGCAGAGGCTCAGGCCCTGCCCTGGGCCTCCCACTTCCCCTCCAGGGCTGACATCTGACCTCTCTGTCAGCAGAAGCTGCCTCCAGCTCTGTGCCTTGCTGGTGGTGGGCGCCAGGGATCTGTCTCTTGGACAGGGCTCACCTTGGGCAAGGGTGTATGCCCACCCCTGCAGGCACTGCCCTCACCTCCAGTCCCGGCCCAGGGTATCGTTCGGGAGTGGAAGGAGTGGGTGTCAACCCCTTGGCTGTGCCCTTTCTCTGGCCCTCGAGGTTCCCTCTTCCATCTCCCCACACCAGGAGGCCACCACTGACCCACCGTGGCCGTGGCACTTCCCTGTGTCCTTCCCAGGCCATGGCCCCCTTGGCCTGGGGCCGTCCTAGTGCAGGAAGCGGATGCTTTTCCCCCAGGCTGTCCTGGCCAGTCTTGCCTAGGTCTGGGGTGCCGTCCCTTGGGGAGCACAGGACTCCCTATTTCCACATGCGGCCTCACGTGGCTCATAACCCCTGTCCCAGCCAGCATGAGGCTGGCATTGTTGTGTTTTAACCCCTTGTCCAGGTGCGGTTGGCACAGCCACACGGTGGTGCGTGGCGGGCCCCCTTGCCTAGCTCTCCAGGCCTGGTGGCTGGCTGCCAACTCACTCACCCCCCACCCACCTCTTGCTACCTCGTGGGAGCCCAGGCCTGTGTCTCAGCAGGAAGGGCTGTTTCCCCATCAGCAACACTCGGGGGGGCGTGGCTCTGGTCCCCCGTTCACCCTCTCAGATCCCCTAGGTTGTCCGAGCCATGGAGCCCTGGACGCTGCTGCACCTGGTGTGCTTGTCACTCTTTGGGGTACTGTCTCAACCAGAGCCCTTCAGGCGGCTCCCAGATCCTCACAGAGGGCCCAGGGTGTGCCTGAAACTGTGCCACACTCAGGCTCTGTGTTTCAGGCTCCAGGCCTGCAAACAGTGTTTGGCCAGGGCCATGGGGCCCTTTGTGGGCAGCAGGTCTGTTTTGAAGTGGAAACCTTGTACTTGCACTGTTCGTGGCTGTGCAGAGCTGCCTGGCTGTGCCGTTCACACCACAGCTGCTTTGTCCATAAGCCGGGGGCATATTGGCAAGGCCTCTGGGCCTCTCGGGATCAGCCGCTGTGCCCTGCCAAGCATTCGTAGCTGATGAGACAGTTCCCGAGCGTGGCTGTTCCAGTTCTGATCACTGGGGTCTTCGTGGCTGCACAGTTCGCAGAAGGCAGCCAGTGTAGCCTCCAGGTTGCCCTTCAGCCAGGCTTCCCTTTCCGTGAGAGCAGGGCGCTGGCCTGGCCAGGCGGAACAAAACACAACTCAGAAATCCATCCTCAGCCTGTCGGCAGTAAAAATTCTGCAGATTTGACTTGAGTTGATTTGCTCGCTGTGGCAGCTTACTGGAAAATGAGTCCAGAGTGCCGAGTCTTCCTCTCAGGGTATAGTCAGCTCCCGAGGTGGGGTCGGGTGGGGTGTCCTGCTGATTTGCTCATGGGTGTCATTGCAGGCTTTATCCTGTGGATAAACGCAGAGTCAATGAGTTTGGGGAGTCCTATGAGGAGGCCACGCGGACACCCCACGCGGACTGAAGGCCGCCCACCCTTGGGGCAAGTGCACCTTGAATTGTCAGTGAGTGTTTTTGGAAGCACCTGGCGGAATTCCTAGACATTGCGTCTTCTGTGTTGCCAAAATCCCTTTGGACGTTGCTCAGACCCCTCCCAAGTTCCCTTCACATCGTCAGATTTGGAGCTGGATTCGCTTATGATGCCCCCACCCCCCCCGCCACGTGTGAACGGACATCTGTCTCGGTCACCAAGCTGGGCGCTGCCAGTCACCCTGAGCTATGGTGGCTCCTGGCACGTGAGTGTCCAGTGGGGGTCAGCCATGTCCTCACGCTGGCAGGCGCGGGAGCCCTCACAGGCAGGGGGGCTGTCGGATTTCCATTTCAGGTGGTTTTTAAGTGCTCCTTATGTGACTTTCAGACACGTATGGAATTCATTCCGTGTGGACTCTGGGATCAAAGGCTCTTTCCTCTTTTGTTTGAGAGTTGATTGTTTTAAAGCTTAATGTATGTATGTTTCTATTTTAAAATAAATTTTTCTGGCTGTGGCATTTTTCTTGACCTGGTATTAATGGAAAATATTTCAGATATTTGAGTTTAACTCTTTTCCAGAATGTAATACATAATATGGATTTATTTATGCATTTAAAGAGCCTCTGCCAAGCCCTTGAGTCATGTTCTTAAATCCTCGGCATCTCAGTTATTTAAGACTAAATGGTTGTGCAGAGCCGTGACCCATCAGGTCAAGCCTGTCTTGCCCTAGGTCGAGGCAGAGGAGGAAATGAGGTAAAAAGGTGTGTTTTCAGACAGCGGAGAAGTGCAGGACTCTGTGTGTAGCGGGCTTCAATCATGTTCACTGAAGTCAGTTTCTGTGGGATTTTTTTCCTCAGCTCACTGCAGTCTCCACCTCCCACGTTCACATGATTCTCCTGCCTCAGCCTCCCAAGTAGCTGGGACTTCAGGTGTATCCCACCACATCCAGCTTTTTTGTATTAATATTTTTAGTAGAGACGCTGTTTCGCCATGTTGGCCAGTCTGGTCTCGAACTCCTGGCCTCAAGTGATCCACCCACCTTGGCCTTTCAAATTGCGGGGAGTACAGGCGTGAGGAGCTCACAGGTGTGAGGAGCTCACAGGCGTGAGGAGCTCACAGGCGTGAGGAGCTCACAGGCGTGAGGAGCTCACAGGTGTGAGCTACCGCGCCCATCCTCTAAATACAGAATCTTTTTATATTCCTGGCCCTTTCCTTGCTCTAAGCCTCCTCTGGCGTTAACGTCCTTTCATCCTTGTGTTTCTGGAACAGGCACCCCTCTCGTGGGTCTGGCTTCCTCGAAGCTGAGGGGCTTCAGGAACCCTGCCCAGAGCCCTGAACCTGCAGGTCTGTTCCACGTGTCCCACTTAAATGGACTAGACACACAATTGCAGGATGCTCGTTCAGCTGAGAACCAAACCCAGATGCTCTCAGGACTTGCAGGCCACAGTGACATTTCTGTATGCCCTGCTTTCTCCTCGGGTTGGATAAATCTCATCGTTTTTAATTAAGGTGTCTTAAACTTCACTCACCTGGAAAGAGATGCACTGGGTCGAGTTGTCATCTTTTAGTTTGATCAGTGAGAACGGGAAGACAAATACGCATACATGGCCCAAAACGTGTTAATTAGCCGTGTTATAAGTGGGGTCTGTGATGGTGGCTGGGAGAGCAGATGAACTGCCAGGGTTTATTAGATGCGCAGGTCTCAGATGGGAGGCACAGCACCTAAGGGGACCTGAGGGGTGCAGGGGCAGCGGCTGCACACAGGGTAGATAGGGTGGACCCTCAGGCAAATTGGAAGTGGGGAAAGAGCAGAAGGCGTGAGGGGCTTCATTGGTGTGTTTGGAGGTCACAGGAGGGCTGGCCCATCACAGGTGTGCCAGGTCACGGGGGGGGGTGCTCGGCCAGTCTGTGGAGAAGTTGAGGCATCAGAGAAACAGGAAGCTTTAAATGTTCACGATGGACCTCACCACATAGGCCGTGCCTTTGCCAGATTACTAGGGTGGGGAGTGGTGGAGGGTGTCCCTCCCACACCTGTAATTTTACTTGTCTTTGGGGGAGGGGAGCCTTGCTTTATACAACACAACTGGCGGTGCTCTGTAAGGCTTCACCTGGCGTGTCCCGTTGCCAGCAGCTAAGCACACGGAAAAGCAATCTCCAATGCACTCCAGCGCCTGGCTTTGCCTGGGGGATGCTGGCCACATCAGGTGCCCTTCCCAGCATTTCCTCTGCCTCCTGGGGCACATGATGCCATAGTCAGTGCCTGTGCCCAGCTCCCACAGAGACAGCACCACTCAGCACTTGCATCAGCAGCCAAAGCCCTGCCTAACTCACAGGGGCTCTGTGGACAGCTTTGCTACTCTCGCTTTTCAGTTTCAGTATCAAAAATAGTTGCTACAAGAAAGGACTCTTTTGCCACAGCACCTGCTCTTCCATTTGGGCTGGCGTGCTGAGCAAAGGTGGGTGCAGGAGCCTCATCAGCCTGACAGCAGAGTCAGCTCAACCTGAGTTTCCAGGAAGCACTATGTCAGGGCCCCAGGAGGGGCAGGTGCCCGTTGCACACTGCATCTGCTTCTGAAGTCAGCGCGCTGGTGTCCAGTGGCCCTCCAGTGCCATTTTCATCTGGGCTGCAGAGGGCGTTATGCATGGACCAGCTGCTGCCGACTGTCAGTCTTGCTCTGTTTAAACAGTAGCAAGTGGCAGACTAGCTCTGAAGACACTGCTCGTCACCTGTGTCAGTTACTCCTGAGAGGTTGCTGGGCGCCTGCCTCTCCCTTTTTTAAGATGAGCAGAAGTTTAAATAAAATGAGTTTGGGAACGAGGACTTGAAAGTCCTTCCAGCTTCAGGACCAGCACTTGGGACAGTCTTGACTGTCCGCCCCGTGGGCCGGCACTCCTGCAAACAGACAGGTTTCAGGAGTGACCGGCACTGAGCCTCAGGCAGATCCCAGCTCACGGGAACCCTGAAGCCTCACTCCCCAACAGAGGCTCCTGCTGGGCGACTTGAAACGCACTTGAAGGGTTTCTCCGTCATTCATCCTGATGAGGAGTTTAGTTCTGCATTTTTCTCGTGGATTGCCTTGATAATCCTTCATAACATCAAGGCCGTGTCTTACATGATGATTACGAGGTGGGACTCAGAAATGTTCCAAGTGCCTGTCGATTTTACAATGTGTCGAAGCCCTCGAAGCTGTTGCCAGCATCTGTGACACACGTGTCTGACACGGCGAGGGCCCAGGGTCACACACGCGGAACGACAGCATCCCGATCACAGCTGCAGGTTCTGTACCTGGGCGGGACTGGCCCTCCCAGAGCAGCCAGTGTCCAGAAGGAGCTTCTGCCGCCACCCCTTGGCACTGGATCCTCATTGTATAGATGAGGTTTTCTTTAATAACCAGGAGAAAAAAAAAATTTTTTTTTTTTTGAGACGGAGTTTCGCTGTTGTCACCCAGGCTGGAGTGCAATGTTCCGATCTCGGCTCACTGCAACCTCCAACTCTCTTCTGCCTCAGTCTCCCAAGTAGCTGGGACTATAGGCGCGCACCGCCATACCCAGCTAATTCTTATATTTTTTTAGTAGAGACGGGGTTTCACCTTGTTGACCAGGATGGTCTCGATCTCTTGACCTTGTGATCCACCCGCCTCGGCCTCCCAAAGTGCTGGGATTATAGGCGTGAGCCACCGCACCCAGCGAAAAAAATTTTTAAGAGGTTTTCTGTATTTTATAGAAGAAATTTTTATAGAAGAGGTTTTCTTCAGAGCGGAGTTTATTAGCCCAGGAAAATGAGAACACATACCCTTGTGAAATGCCTGCGCACGTAGCCCCGTAGAAGCCAGTCTGGTGGCTGTCAGGTCTTTGGAGTGGCATCGAGATGGGTCTGTTGGCCTTGGCCCTGGGAAGCCCCGCAGGCCAGGGTCCTGGAGGAAGGAGAGGGTGCAGCCCGCGAGGTGCAGCTCTGCAGCCCTGATGAAGCGGGGGCCTCATTCCAGGAGTGACCCATGCGGAGGAGGGAAACCAGGAGGAGCTCTTGACGGGCCAGTTTACCCCTTTCCTGAAGGAGGCACAGGACCTGAGGGGATGTGGAGCCCTGTGGTCCACGGTGCTTCTGAGGCAGCAGCCTCCACAGAGATGCGGGTCCTGGAAAAGCCCACCGCACGAGTGTCACCCAGCCACTGCCACAATCCCCACAGCGTTGTGCTTCGAGCAGCATATTCTCTCATGGTGCTGAAGTCCAGACCGGGCCTCCCTGGGTACCACAGAGGCTCCAGCAGCCCCAGTCCTCGGTTTGCCGCCTGGAGAGCTGTTCTCCTTGCATTCCCGAGCTTATGGCCCCTTCCTCACCTCACCCTGACCTCTGCCTCCCACGTCATAGCCCTGATCCTCACCCCGACCCTCCGTGGTTCTGTCAGCCCCAGCCAATTCCCCAGCACCATCTCCCGTCCAAGGTCCCACGTATGACGGTGGCCGCAGAGTCCCCTCCAGCACGTAGGGTCACACCCGCGGTTCTGGGGCTGGACCTGGATGACTCTGAGGGAGGTGCCCACCTTCCCATATCCTACTATTTCCCTTGGTAACTTTCAGTCATGATGTCCAAGTGGCCTCTGTCCTGCTGGCTGGACTCAGCTGGCGCACCGAGAAGCAGGCACATTTTTGTTTTTGAGATGGAATCTCATTCTGTCACCCAGGCTGGAGTGCAACGGTGCCATCTCGGCTCACTGCAAACTCCGCCTCCAGGTTTAAAGCGACTCTCCTGCCTCAGCCTCCCAAGTACCCAGGATTATAGGTGCCTGCCACCACGCCCAGCTAATTTTTATATTTTTAGTAGAGACAGGGTTTCACTATGTTGGCCAGGATGGTCTCAAACTCCTGACCTCAAGTGATCCACCCGCCTCAGCCTCCCAAAGTGCTGGGATTACAGGCATGAGCTATCGCGCCCGGCCGGCAGGCACTTTTTAAAAACTTGCTATTGTGCAGTTTCCACACAGCGTCGAGGCAGGTGCGCCCTGTACAGCCCAACAGGCACGACATGCTTCCATGCTCCAGCATGAAGCACCTGAGCCAGCTGCAGATGGACCTCGGCCCACGGGGCCCTCTCGGTGAAAAGCATGTGGGGGGACCCTGCCATGGGTCACTGGGTCCAGGTCCCACAAACGAACAGTCACCCTGGGCGCTCTGGTGCCTGCGTTCTTGGGCTGGGCTCTGCCTGGTGTCCATCTGTGTGGTTAAGGGGTGCTCATTTGTAACTTTCTCCCATGTGGCATTTCATGGCATGAACTGGGGCTGTTAGGGATCGGCTGATGCAGGTGGCTGTGCCTGCTTTTGGGGCACAGACCCAGGGGGATGTGGCTGTCATGGTGCGTGGGTGCTGAGCTCCAGTACGTCACCCGTGTTCTAAGGGGGCGGTGCCACTCCAGCTGTGCACGGCGGCTGTGAGCCCCATGGCCTCACCCCTTCTCCAACACACGGCACTGCTGTCTTTAGTTTTAGCCACTCTGGTGGGTGTGTAGTGGAGTCTTTTTGA